TTTCCCTACCCATTTCTTTTGATTCTCCGCTATTCGCTGTAACTTATACCAGTCAGGAGTTTGCAAAATACCTGGTGCTATTTCCATGGAAACCAGAGAGTTACATGTCAAGTGTTATGCTGCCTTAAATTATTTTTTTTAAGAAATTTTAAAAAGACTGCTAAAATTCAGTGCTGGGTAAAGCTGCCTGATTGACAAGCATGGGAAATCATCATCTCTTTTCTTGCAAAGAAGAGACAGCCACGATGACAACATTTCCCATGAGACCACAAGCTCACCACGCAGGCACTAAACATTCCCGGGAACGTAACGCTGAAGGCTTCATGGCCATGAGCTGGGGACACGGTGCCACGTGCGACAGGAGCCCTGTGCTGGACATCCAACTGGCCCTGTGATAATAAGCAGCAGTGGCCACTGCAGTCCCAGGCTGCCAGCAAAGGTCTTTTTCTACCCAGCCAGGATGACAAGCGTAGGATCTCAAGGAAGCTAAGTGGGAGCAAACCTAAGGGAGCTATCAGCTCCCCGAGGATGTTTGCTGGGGAGAACAATACGTGCTCACATGTTGCACGCCCCTAAGACAGCAAGTGCCTCCCACATCACCTCCCTCCCCACATCGAACCCACCACTGTTGCATCTACAAGAGCTATGAACTCCATCACTTGGCACCAGCTGAATTTCACATGAGCAATCATGACAGAGCCACTGGATAACCTCCAGGAGAGCTGCATTTTACATGTTTCTAAAAATACACTAATGTGATGCAACGCTGATGTCCAGATGTGAGTTGGTTTGAGGTTTTGTTTTTTAAAAGCCACTGCTCTTTATGGTCTCTGCCATAATTTGTACCACTTTCTTGTGTTTTTTTCAGTTATGCAATCTTTTTCATAGTTATGCTTCTTTCTTCTATGGTGTGATGCCAGAAAAATGGTAGAAAATACAGTTTCATTATCTCCAAGCAAGTATATATTGTTTTCAATAATAGAAGTTACACTGTCAATCCACTTTATTACAGCTTAGTGAAGGGTTTTCAACCAAAAGCAATCAAAAAACCCAGACGCTGAAACTAGTCTGGGGACCTATAAAAGCAAAGCTATTTGGTTACATTACAATTGCCTTTACATCAACTGATGATAAAAGATACACAAAACAGGTTTCCCCCCATGAGTCAGTAAATTTGATTTAGAATTTGAGAAAAGCCTTAATGCCAAAAACCCAAGCAGATGTACTAACCCCTCTCAGTCAGTGAGTGATCCTTCTACCTGCTGCTAGTGCTGGTGACTTGGAAGCATCACTTGATTAATTTGAAGTGAATAAAAGACCTCATACATGTTTATTGGCACATCTGGGTTGAGGTAACGGTGGGACAAATGGGTAAATATATACTTCTGAGATAATTTCTAACCATGAGGTCAGGCACCATAAATTTTCCATGGCTATATGAACTCCAGCAGTATTTCCCCCCACCCCCATAGAAGGTTTCCACTGGATTGTGAACTATGTTTCAGAATATTTCCAATCAGATTAAAACAGATATTTACAACTACAGTGGATTTTTTGCTTTCCCACATTACACACTGTGCTACTATATTATCTTGAACGATAGGACTTTGTTGTTAGCATCAATACTTATTCAAAAACATTTTTTTAAACCTGATACTTTTAAAAGTTGAGCTAATTTATTTTCTGAAAAATCACTTGTTCAGTGGGTGATGATAATAACAAACTCTAAAAATGAAAAATTAGAAGGATCACAGCTCCTCTGTGGAAATTTATGAGGATCCCTGCTCTGTTTCTTCCTGGCTGAGTGACAGCATGAAGACAACTTGCACACAGGGCTACCTAAGGCATAACAAGACTGGAAAGAAGAATAAAGAAAAGGAACTGATGATGCTTTTCAGTCCTACTCTTTACAGGTACTACCAACAACAGGAGCAGGTGCAAAAGTGTCTGACAGCAATGAGTTTTTCCGTTTTAAAGTGGCTAAACTTCAGAAAGCTCTTGTGGGAACCTCTCAAATCTGGACTCGCAAAGAGACTGTAAATCTTATTCCCAGAGGTTTTATTATGTTCCCACCACCAGTTCCCACACACTGAGCTAAAGTAATGCTATAGCAAAACTGCAGAAATAGCTGGGATTTTCTTACACTTATCAATTGCACCAAGCACACCTGTTACTTCTTTAGTGTGTGATTGGATTTTCCAACATATTGATCGCTATCTGTGCAACAAAGCAGTGAAATCAGCAGTGGATCAGCCACTTCAGATTCAGCTACATATTATTCTTTAAATTGTCTTGACGTCCTATTAACACGTGACCGATATTTCTTGCAGTGCTGCATGCTCCAAACCATTGCCTTCATAAATCTACAAGAGTGGAACCCTGCCGAACTGTGATTAAATCTGTTAAATTGAGGAATCATCACGTTAGATTGATTGTGTTTTAGGAGAGTCACATGCACAACATTTAAAGGACCGTTTTGTTTCTTCAGCTGGATGGCGTTCCAGGACACTATTTAGAAAAGAACGAGAATTGTTTTTCTAGGAGTTACGGCCAAAGTTTTGTTGAGCTGTTTTAAGGCCACCATCAACAATCCTTTCTGAAACTGTTGTGTACCTGCTATTGTTAAAAGAAACACCCATGTTTACTGCAATTGAAAGACATTAGAAAAAAATAAACATTTTTTTCAGTTTGCTGACTTTGTGCACGCAGCACAGTGTGTTTAGTCAGCAGTATTGCTCATCTGTTGACAGTCGCATTTTGTTTCCACTTGTGTTCAAAGCAAAGCATTTGCCCAGACTTCTGACAATTTTGAGGACAATAAAACTAGCTGTAAACCCAACGTACTGTTAAAATCCTATTCACTTTAAGGTCTGTTTCCCACTCCTCCAAACACATACTTTTTTACCCTTCTCAGAGTAAAGCTTTTATCAATGATTAGAAGTGATGAGAAGAGTAGTTGTGATGGTTCTGCAAATTAGCGCAGCACCTGACCTCAAAGAAGAGCAGAAAATTGCCAACAACCACCAAGTGACACGGTCCTGTACAAACTCCAGAAACATGGGCAGCACAAGAACTGGGACTACTGGATACTACAACAGCAATTAAACTGAGTACTGTAAGAGTAGCAGGGATGCGGTAGGATAGCAGTAATGACTGGGGCAGATGTTTTGAATAAAATGCAGAAGGAAGATATAAAAGTTGTGGAGTTGGAGGTACAGAGCTGTGTGTTAGGAATGCTACAGTAAAAAAAAAAAAAAGTGTAGCAAGAATAAACCAAAACCACTCTATAGAAGAAAAAATACATTGCACTGAGTAATGCTGAGTAGTTCACTACAATGCTTCGGGGTTAAGTTTGGGAATCAGTAAAGATCTGGGTAATATTATTAGTAATTCTAGCTGATAATTCGCTGTTTTTCTGGAAACAGAGACTTTCAGATAAAGAATGAAGATGCAAAGTCAATAATGGAGGAAAGGCAAAGATTTCCTTGGAGCATTCCT